TTGAGTTTTATTATCAAAACAAATGATGGATCTGTTCTTTCTAATTGCATTCTCTGTCTATCCTTCTCACTGACTTCAGAAAAACTCACTATTGTTCTCAGTATAGCGGAATCACAGAAGCAACATGTAAAAGTATGAAACATAGACTTCTATATGTGATAGTTTTCTACCTCATTATAAATAAATATATAAAATGAATACCTATATTTTGTAATTAGAATATATTTTCAATTTTAATTAAAAATTAAACATTGAATTTTATTATATGCCAAGGTAAAGTAAAATAAGCAAGGGACAACAATACTTTGTAGTTTTTTTTTTGTTTTTTTTTTTGTCTTTTTCCGTGTCTGGCAACGGATCGCAACCCTCAGTGTTGCCCCCGTACCGGACCGGGGACCGGCAACGGGATTGCAACCCTCGGCGTTGCCCCCGCGCCTCGCTCAGCCAGTGAGCGGGAACTGGTCCGTATGTGGGATCCGAACCCTCGGGCGGGAGCGCCGCCGTGCTTCCCAAGCGGCGCACTATCCATTGCGCCACCGGGCCGGCCCGACTTTGTAGTTTTTAATGAGATGTATAAGATCTCCAGTGCTGGTTTGTTTTATAGGAATGGTTCTCATAACGTTCTGCCAACTGCTTCCATGTGTTCCCTATCTGAAGCGTTGTAATAAGCTTCATAGTGATCACTTGTGATAAGCTTCATAGTGATCAAGTGTCTTTATCTCACTCAGTTGCTATCTAGATTTCTAAATTTTGTTCAATTTTGCCAAAATCCTCCTACAGGTTAAAAATTTTCAAGTAGATTAAAAACGTATGAAGAGCTAAGTCAGTATAAACCAAACTACTGAGCTATAACAGATTCACATGCGTAGAAATATGGTATCTGTTATTAAAATGTCTAAAACTTCCCAAGCAGGAAAGCCTTGGATAAAAACCTAGAAATATCCAAGAGTACATTGTCATGTTACAAATTAGAATATTCTAGTCTAAATTTCCTAACCCACTGCATCTTCTCTCCGTGTAACTGAAAGTTTAATTCTTTCAATCCTTTTGCATCCTCTGTAAAACTGTTTCCAAAGGCCACTTGGTGGGGCAGGCAAAAAAAGAAAGGGGAAAATGAGCCAATTCTATTTCCTATTAGAGTGCATGTTCTATGAAGTTAAGGATTGCCTAGCACTGTGCCTTGGACAAAGTTCAGACCTAATAGGATTCAAAAGGTAAATCAAATGACTAGATGAATAAAAGTCACTGATGGAATATTTTAAAGTGAGGCTGGCTTTTCCCTAGCCTTGAATGCCCATATAATCTGAGCATTTGAGAAGTAGAGTGGCACCTACAAAAAGAGATTCTATTGTTCTTGTTGGAAATGGAATTTGAAATAGTTGTGCTTGGTAATTTTTAATCTTATCTAATTTTTTAAAAGGAAAATAAATATTTTAAATACAAAATGACAAAAGGAATGAAATCAATGATCATACCTCTCCATTAAAGAAGCAGAAAATTGTGGAGACCAAAAGACCCTATAAAAGAAAAATAAATTATATGAAACCAAATGGAAAAGACATATGTATTTGTAACCAACTTGCTGCATAAGTAATAAAACCAAAATTTAATACTAAATTTCTCTAGCTGCCTTCTTGTTGTCAAGAACGCCATACCTGATAGTGCATAAGGATGTGCATGATGTAGTCATATACCTCCTCTGCAATCCTTCCTTCAGGTCGCCATGGAATGAGCACAAATTCAATGCCAAGCAGTGGCACCAGGATAAGAGTAGCTCTCACAGCTTTCATGTAGAGATTGGATTCTGCCTGGTGTGTAACTTTTAACTTGGTGATAAGAACGCGTACTATATTTAGCAGGAAAAAAAGATTCACCTAAAAAGAAAACAAAATGGCATATGAAAATCATTTTACATTTAACATTAAGAAGCATTATTGAAGAATACCCAATTTAATAAATCTTAGAATATTTTCAATGCACAAGAATATGTTCTTAATGAGTATGTTTGTCTATGGTATTAATTTATATGCTGGAATTATGATTTATTCATTTAACAAATACATCAATTTTAATGGACCTAAGTTTTAGAAAAATAAAATCTGGTAGAATTATTGTGCAGCATGTTGTTTTTCTATGGTCCAAAAATGAAAGTTTTCAAACATTTTCATCTCGAGGAAAAAAAAATTGTTTGTAGCAGATGTTAATTTTTAAAGCATTGCCTCCTCATCAGTGTCCATACAACATACTTTTCAAATGCATATTATACCATGATAATCATTTTCATCTTTTTGGTTTATCTTTCCTATGTTTCTTTTTGTAACAGTAATCCTTACATCTTTTTGTAACAACAATGCTTACAGCTCTCCAAAATAGTACTGTAATCCTCTTTATCCTTAAGGGGAGACTGAGTCACACAATTGAACCAGCTGATATTCAACCTATATCATCCTAGAACTAAAATGCTTTGGCTTCCCATAAGGCCTTCTGTTAATTACTTTTTTGTAATTACAAACTTACTATTTATTGTGCTTTAATAACTTTCCTCAATAGTCAACATTCCTTTTGAAAGAGAGACATAAACTTTGAAAATATAGTGTGACTCGAGAAATAGAGTCCTGCTGAAACACATTCCTTTCTCTCCCTCTCTCTTTCTCTGAATACTACTTTCTGTCTTTCCTATCTTTACGTTTGGCCATTTTCTCTTTGCCCATTCCTTATGCCTTCCATAGTATTATTGATGTTAAATACAGATCAGCCAAAGAACCCTGTAGGGGCTAATTACTATTCTTTTTCCTTTTTTCTCACCCTGACTTCTTGCATGTGCCCTTTGTATGATAATCTTATAATGTCAAACTACAAACCAATGTATAATTTATATCCACATACTTTAATAAATTGGAAAAAAATAATGGTAGCATCTCATTTAATATAGAAAGTGATGAACAAATAGCATACATTTGTTAAGCTAAGGCATGTGTTACGGAAATAACTGGGCATAAAAATATTACACTTCTATTCTTAGG